AGAAAATGCGATGATCGTTTATTAAGTAAATTAGGTAGATTTTACTATCTTTTTCGTTTTGATCTCAGTAACCAATGAAAAAAATTGTTGGCAGTTAGCATTAAAATTATGGAACGATAATACAAAACTATATCTTCCATAAACTTTCGATATAAGAAATCTCCACTGCCCTTTTGTTAGCGACTACCTCCCAAATGTTTATACATCGCTAATTTTACTTTCTTTGATAATAGATACACTCAAAATACTTTTCCATTCATTGTTTAAATTAAAATGGTTAATATCTGCATATCGCTATGCTCTCTAAAGACTTGCTGTTAATAATTTGGCATTAATTTAAAAAAACTTCAGAATCTAGAAACTCAAGACATTTGAAAAGAATTGTGGTTTGGAAATTTTTCTAATATTTTCCAAATACTCAAAAACTTGCTATTAAAATGAATTTCAAGTGAATAAAGTTCCGCTAATAGGATTGATAATATGAACTGTTTCTTATTTATCAATTACCTACTAAATTTTATTGCTTGGTATGGTATGCAAAAAATTCCGTTTTTCTACAGAAAATGCCATTCGCCCTTTTTAGACATAAAATCCCGAAAAAATGGCGAAATCCCGCAAATTGGCAACACTACCCTAAATAGCAAATCAAAGAAAAATATCAAAAGCAACAACTAAAACATGTTGTGTGTTTCTTATGTCTATTCAAAATTAGTTTTGCCTTTGAACTTAACTTTGTAGCCGAGCAAGTAAATGGAAGCGCCTTCAAAGGATGGATGATAGGGATGTTCAAATAAGATCGGTTTTTCCAAAAACCGGTTTTTTTGAATTTGGTTAATGATCTTTTTCAGTCTTTTTTTAATTTAGGTGTTAATAGTTTTTTTTTCTCTAAACCCGAAAACCGAAAATTCGGTTTTTACGTTTCCCAGCGATGGATAATTATTTTGTAAATCTTCGAGATGAGAATAAAATTTTACGGCGTACCAAAAACTCCAAATTAACTACTAAATTTTTTGCTGATCTGGTAGCTAAGCATAATCGATTGTGAAGTCGATTGTGAATATTGTAGTTTACTGTTCACTGAGAACAAAACGCCATTCAAAACTATTACAAGTATGGCGCCTACAAATAAGAGAAGTTCTTTGTGGTTACATTTCACAGAAAAAACTAGCAAAGAAGCAATTTGTAAATTTTGCGGCGTGTTGGTGAAATTGGGAGGTGGCACATCGAATTTAAAAGGTCACCTTCAACGCAACCACCCCGGATGGGACAACAGCAATAATAAATGCAGTGACCCAGAAGTACAAAATTTAGAAACTTCCAGCAGCGAAACTGAAATAAGTTCATCCTTCACTGCATCTTCCACATCTAGTCAACCATCAATTATTGATGCTTTTGATAAGCAAAACCAATTCAAAAGTAAATAGCTAATTTCTTTTTGGGACTATAAGCAAGTTAAACACTTTAAATTACCTTGTACAGGCGGAGGAAGTAAAGAAACAATTCTGACACAATCCTTAATTTATATGATTTGTAAGGACAACCTTCCATTTAGCTGCACTGAAAATACAGGCATGAAAAAGTTCCTTAAGGTCACTGTGCCACGCTACAAACCGCCAAGCCGGGTAACTGTATGTATAATGTTATAGAAGGAATAAAAAATTAATTTACTTTAAACATTTGTATCCCTATAGATTGTGAGACTTATTGAAGGGAAATACGAGTCCTTACACTTAGTCGTTTGTGGTGCTTTAAAAAATGTAAGTTCACTGGCCCTTACAACTGATATTGCCACAGTCATGAACTCCACTCGGAGTTTTATTGTGTTGACTGGACACTATTTTGGTAAGCAAAAGTAAATTTAACGTTGGTTGTTTCTTTTAAGATTCCTTTAATTTTGCAGACGAAAAAGCGTGCAGCGTGAAATCTCTGGTTTTTGGTTTAAAAGAGCTTACTCCTCATCATACTGCAAGAAACATATGCCTCGACCTAAAGGAAATCTTTGATCATTGGAACATTGAACCCCGCATTGTTACATCAGTAACAACTGACAATGGTGCAAACATTGTTGCCGCTGTTAAGGATCTTTTTCCTTCAAGATCAAATAGCATTCATGTGTCCTGCTATGCCCACAATATTAATTTGGTGGTCTCCAAAGGATTGGGCGCTGTTAAAGAGCTGGCTATAATAGAAAAAGTGAAGCTTATTGTGACATTCTTCAAGCATAGCAATGTAGCTCAAGATCAGTTGAGGAAAGAGCAAGAAAAAGACGGTAGAAAAGATGGTACATTCTTACACTGTCTTCAAAGATTTAAGGAATTATCAGGCTATGTTGCAAAAATTTTAGCAAATTTTTTCTCAAAAAAGGCACCATCTATGATTACTTCGTCTGAGCTTGCAATCATTGGCGAATGTATTGCACTTTTATTGCCATTAGAAAATGCAACAAACGATATATCAGGGGACAGTTATGTTTCGGCTAGTTTGGTAATACCATTCACACATTGCTTACAGTTGTCACTGACGAAAATATGTGCCACTTATACAGAAACCATACAACTGAAAGATGTACTGCTACAGCAGGTAAAATGTCGGCTACTGCCATTAGAAAGCAATATACTGCTCGCCACTGCCACTGTTCTTGACCCTAGGTTTAAGAAACCCATTTTCAATCGCCGATAAATTGTGCAAATGCAATTGATTTTATTAAGAAGGAAATTGAACAGCGAACAGCTAAAGTTGGAAATACTTCTCCAGTTCTTCATAGCAGATCTGACACCTCCGAACCTAAGGGCTATAGCTTGTGGGATGTCCACGATGAATTTTCGACTCAAAATAACATCGGTTTTAACGACGGTAACAGTTTCCCAATGGAACTAAAATTTTATTTAAGTCAGCCAATTTCACCTCGTTATCAGGACTCTATTAAGTTCTGGGCTAGTAACCGAAGTGTATTTCCTACGATTTATCCAATCGCAATGAAATACTTGACTGTTTGCGCCGCTTCAGTAGCATCTGAAAGGGTTGTGTCCACCTTAAATAATGTATGCTCGGACAAGAGAAGCCGCCTTACTCCCAATCATGCCAATAACCTCGTATTTTTAGGATCACTTAACGACGAATTTTGGAATATTTAAAGTAATCTAAAGGTTTTTGAAAGATTACAGTGATTTAGTATATTTAAAATGCGTACATGTACACGTGTACATAATTGCATCCGTTTATAAAAGATCTCTGTGCTTAGCACCTATATTGATATGTATCTACACATGCCCTGACTCACAAACTTTAGTGTACGTGTGTGTAATTACATATGTATGTGTTTATCTTATGTTTTTATTACAAAAAGTTTTTGTTTTTGAAATGAAGTTTGTTTTTGCTTAAATATGCCAAACGCTTTATTATATTTCTTATTTTTTGGAAATGAAGTTGTTATACAAAATAAAGCAAAAATATTGTTTTAATTGATTTCCGTTGCACAGCAGTAAGTAAATTTTAAAGAAGAAAATATACATATAGGCGAAGTGAAAATTAAGATTAATTCGATATCGACTTTTTTTTATTTTTTCAGTGTTTTTATAATTCGGTTTTTTTTCGGTAAACCGAAAAGATCAGTTTTTTAATCCAGTTTTTTTAAACGGTTTAAAACCTGAATGAAAAACCGTAATTAATCAAAAAACCGATTTTTTGAAAACGGTGCCCATCCCTAATGGATGAAATAGAAAAGCAGTGTACGCACGCATGTACATACATACATACATATGTATGTATATAAGTACGTATGTAAGTAGTAGATCAGTATGTGGGCGGGAAAAACTATAAATTAGCGACAGCAATGCTTTCGTTTATGTTTGTATGTATTTAATGTCCTAAATACCATTATTCGTGCTTTTTATCAGAAGTGGAATACAATTTGATCAAAGTATTGATATCAGGCACGTCAACTGTTGGGTAATCCCCCGATTTTGATGGGTAAGTAAGTAAAACTAATGTATTTTAAAGACAAATGTTTAGTAGTACTTACATACATACATAACAGAACTAATGTTGCGAAATTGATAATGTGTTAAAAAAGAGTGAAAAAAGAGAAAACTTACAATTATGTCTTTAAAAAAGTCCAAGGAAAAACTTGCTTTGAATAGCTTCACAGCTTATCGCAGGAACGCTGCATAAAAAATTGGCGAATTCCATTGGAAAATCAGAAACTTTTACAGGCAGCGTTTTTTATTTGAATTTGATGTAAAAACTGACAGAACCGCAAATAATTTTTTTTCACCTACATTGCTTGTGAACCGGCCTTTCGTATCTTAAAATAAAGCTATGAAAAAAATATTAAAGATAAATTCGGACTGACTGACAATCGACTCATGAACTCAAAAACTGAAACACATTTAATGGAAATATATTAGACTTAATTCTAGTGGTGGTTTCTAACGACCTTAAAATCGAGTTGGAAAATTTTTACAACTACATTTTTAAATGAAATGAAATGGAAAAGTATTTTGATTAAACCAATTGTTCTTCACGCATTCAGTGTTGTGTTATCCGGTTAGTTTATTTAGGAAAAAATCATCGCATAACTATGTAATCAATTTAAAAAAAATATTTTCACGTAACTTGGCGGCCCAGAAGAATTAATCTCCATAGCTGGGACCATTTACCCCACTGTGCATGGAAAATTTAAATCAAACATTTCTTTTTCTACGTACCCTCATTTTTAGAAAATTTTAGTTCCCTTCGAAATTTTGATTTAAAATCTTTATGTGTATGTAATACGCGAAGGGATTTTTTGTCTAGGCATAATATCTACCCCATTCGCTCAATTTAAAGCCCTTGGCCTGTAGATGTGCAAACTGGTTTTATTTTTTTCGAAAAGAGTTGCCACCCGTTCAACAATTAAATTCAAATTGGCTGAGATTTCTATTACGTAACCGCGCGATTTTTTATTAATAATTTTCATTATTTATCGAAGTATCGATTTTTATGAAAAAAGCGCCGCTGGGGAAAATTTTGTAAAAAAAAATCGCGTGATTTTTTATAAAATTTTTTTATTATTTATCGAAGTATCATAAAATTCTCGCAAAAATGCAAAGAAAATTAAGATGACAGACTTGTAGAAAAATAAATTTCCTACAAAAAAGGTTTTAGAACAGCTAACATCGATATTTGTTGAAATATTGGGCTTTGAAGTTGATCAACAATTTCTACAATTTAGCTCAATAATCCATGAAAATTCCCCACTATCTCAACTTCCCACAAAGCCCACAAGTTAAATAATTACACTCAAGTTATTTAATAGCAAATGCCTTAAGAACCGCACCATTCGTTGGGTTTTCAAAAGTGAGGTATCAAATTAAAGGGCTTAAGGTGCGGATGTTCAATAAAGTTTTACTTTTTCGAAAAAAGTTGCCACCAGTTAAGAAATTAGGCGCAAATTGTTTAAAAAGTTAAATCAATTTTTACAATATGAGTATAGAAATCGTTTTGAAAAGGCTTTATATCTTAGCTACGTGTAGGAGGGTTGCCACATGTTTAAAAAATTTAATTCAATTTTAACTAAAGGAATTTGGCAAGTGAATAAGGTATCACTATATGGATGTGAGACAAAAGAGGTTTAAGAAGGTAGTAGTTTGGAAATATTTTGAAGAGGGTTGCAACATATTTGAGAAGTCGAATTTAATTATTTTATACCCAAGTTACATGAAATATTAAAAATTGATTGCAAATGAAAGAGTTTTAAGAAATATTTAGTTTGACAATTTAGACTATTTTTGATGGGTTTGAAGGTTGCCCCTGTTTAAAAGGCTAAATTAAAATTATTTAATAAATTAAATAATAACTAAACGATTATTATCAATGGAAATGGGTTTAATTTCATTTATTTCAGAACTATATTTAGGAGGGTTGCCACGTGTTAAAAAAAAATTTTTCAACCGAATTCATCAGTTACTTGAAATATTTATAATAACGTCATACGAAAAATATTTAAGAAAATTTTGGCTCGTAAATAATTTTTAAGAGGGTTGCCGCTTAAAAAATCTAATTCAACTTAATTCATCAGTTAATTGAAATATGCATAACAATGCCAGACGATAAAAAGATTTTAGTTTGAAAATACTTTTAAAGGGGTTGCCACCTGTTTGAAAAGTCGAAGTTGTTTTACTTATACACAAGCTACATAAATGAAATATCGAAATGTTAGTGTCAAACGAAAGAGTTTTAAGAATTCTTTAGGCTGATAATATTTTTATTTAGGGTGCCATCTATTTCTTTGAAGGTCATCACATCTGCAACGTTATTTCGAATTTCCAAAATGGGATGTCAAATTAAGAAACTCGGATTCTACATAGATGTGCAATAGTGTTTTATTTTTTGAAGCTAGAAATTTTCAGCGGTACAGGGAGACTTGAAATTTGATGAAATGAAAGCCAACACCATGCGAGACGTCTCATCACTCAGAAAGGGTTTAGTTGAATCATTAAGAATATTTTTTGATTTTTTTGAATAAAATTTCACCTGTTTAAAGATTTAAATTCAATTTTGGCGTTTTAACGCCATGCGGGTTCATAAGTTATTAATATTTTGCAATTCATATTGATTAATTAAATTTAATTCAATACAATCAAACTTGCATGTGATCATAATAATATCACGTATTTTACGTTCAAGTTTAGCGGCTGTGGCTCCGACACAGCCTCCAGGTCAAGACGAAGGCGCCAAGTTCTTAAAAGGTATTGGGTTTTATGAATTAAAAAATTAAGCTCAAAATGTTAGTATCAAGCGCTAGTCAGAGTAGAGAGAGAAGAAAATCATTTACAAATTTCGAACCGATAAGTAGATACTAGTTGATTTTATTTCCTCATTGCATGCCAAGAAAATTAGCGTTCATCCATAGTTTTTTCATCCAAGAACTGAGAGTGTTTAGCTGCTTAAACATAATTGCTATACGAGTCCTTCATAAGCCGGCCGGCTGATACCTTAGACTGGAATCCAAAGTTTATCCATTTCCTCAGTCATGAGATGGTATCTCGGTCTATTCATGTTATCATAATTGGAACTTAAATTCACCGAGCATTATTCGCCTGCAGTGTGTGTCTTCGGCTCTCGAATTTTCAACAGATAAGACCAGCAAAAGGTTACAGCGGACTTTTTTATTCTGAAAGTTATTCTACACAAGATTTGAAGTTTCTCGTTTTAAAGTAGAATCAGCGCATATCACAGTTTGCATTTTATGTTCTGAATCAGAAGTCAAATTCTCTTAGTCGGTTTCTACCGATATAAAGTGACATAAAGTATCCTCTTCAAATGGCTAGTTTTAAGCAGCCAAACAGGCGATAACACCACAAGAAAGTCGCTCACAAAATATTCGACAACCTCAATAGTAGCCAAGAAATGCCGAAATCTCTTAAAGAGATGGCTTTAGTCACTTCGCAATGTGCGCTTTAGGCCAGTGCGACTAAGAGGAGAATTCTAATACCGGAAAATTAGAGTGACTTGGTACAAAGCTTCAGGAAAGCGCTATATGTATGTAGGTGATGTAATCCTGATGACTTGACGAGCTTACCTATAAAATTAGAACCCAAACTATTAGGCTCAATCAGCCCGCTAAGCCTAAGTAAGCGCTACATAAGAATTGTAACCTCGGCGATAACAGGACATTGTCTGATCGGCCGACACGTCAA